AATCATTTTCACTTTCCTGGACGGAAGATAAATTATTTTCTGGTGTTCAGACTCACTCTAGACACCAGAGTGTAATCCCACACCGTTCTCGACTTCATAGGCTTTCCGTGGGTAGCCACAGCAAAGGAGAAATTATTAAAAGAAAGGAAACGTCTTCTGAAACTGGGAAGAAAATTGGGGGAAAATTTTGGGGGGAAAATTACAGTTTTATTCTTTCTCCTAAGCTTGTGATTTTAGTATTCCAAGACCTTATGCTTGAATTACTGAAGAAGGCATGTTTATGCAGAAGACAGGGAAATGTAAAGAGCAGGAATATACAAAAATGAAGGCGCGGTGGCTCACGCCTGTAATTCCAGCACTTTGGGAGGCTGCGGCGGGCGGATCACGAGGTCAGGAGATTGAGACTATCCTGGCCAACATGGTGAAACCCCATCTCTACCAAAAATACAAAAAACTAGCTGGGCATGGTGGCGCGTGCCTGTAATCCCAGCTACTCAGGAGGCTGAGGCAGGAGAATTGCCTGAACCCAGGAGGCAGATGTTGCGGTGAGCCGAGATCGCGCCATTGCACTCCAGCCTGGGTAACAAGAGCGAAACTCCGTCTCAAAAAAAAAAAAAAAAATTAGCTGGGCATGATGGCACATGCTTGTAGCCCCAGCTACTCAGGAGGCTGAGGCAGGAGAATCACTTGAACCTGGGCGGCGGAGGTTGCAGTGAGCCAAGATCACGCCACTGGACTCCATCCGGCAACAGAGTGAGACTTCATCTCAAACAAAAAACAAACAACAAACAAACAAAAAAAACCTAAGAAATAATGCTGCTTTAGCTGGGAATAATGAAGACACCTGATTCCAAATTCATATTTTATTTTTATTAAATTTTTTTTGAGACACAGTCTCGCTCTGAACCCAGGCTGCAATGCAGTTGCGTGATCTCAGCTCAGTTCAGCCTCCACCTTCCCGGTTCCACTGTAGGTTCAAGCAATGTTCCTGCTTCAGTCTCCCAAGCAGCTGGGACTACAGGAACGTGCCACCACACCTGGCAAATTTTTGGATTTTTAGTAGATGGTGAGCCACTGTGCCTGGTTCAAATTGATATTTTCAATGCCTATTTGCAATCAGCAAAAAGCCAGGTTTGCTGCATGATGCTTGCTACAAGGATTTGGCTTCTCTGGCTCAAATTTTTTCGCTCCACCGAAAGATAAGGAAGGCACAGGCCCATTTGTCCAATCACGTTTGCTGAAAATACTGCAGCCTGAGTGTAGATAAACTTCCCCTGACGTTGCCAGAAGTCTCTAGTTAGCAGAATCACTAGATAGATGACTGTATGCAGACGGCCTCTAGGGAGCCTACAGTCCAATCTCCTTACCTTACAGTAAAATAGGCCCAGGAAGCAGAAGGGCCTTGTCCCAGCTACAGCAAAATAGGAATAGCCTGAGGCTCAGAACTTACTTCTGATTCCCAGATTGAGGCTCTTCCCTCCAGCTGATAAACATGATATGTGGCAGGCAAGGACCAGAGTGGCCCAAGCAGGTTAGGAGAGGGGTGGAGCCACCCAGGAGCTGCTGAGAGTGGTGGTGGCTCCACTCTCAGCAGCTCATGGGAGAACTTCAGAGAGGCCAGCTGGTAGCAACCCACCTTGGATACTGCCGACCTCAACCTCAGGGGGTCGAGGTTGCACCCTAGGTGAATGAATTAGCATACAAGTCTCTGGTCTGTGTCAAAGCTTTGGAGACTTGCCTACATTTACAAATTTGAAAGCAGCCACCAACATCACAGCACAGATGGAATCTGAGCTGCCCTGCCCAGGCTATTCAGAAAATCCTACCCAGGGGAAGTTGGGAAAGAGAACTTCTATTTGGCCCCAGCTGAAACTCTTCTGGAAGCTCAGTGGGGCCTCTGTCAGCTTTGCCCTCTGGACCTGCCCATTTGCCCCAGAGGTGCCCACTGAGGCTATCTCAATGCCTGTCAAACTAAAACTTAAACCTAAGAGTGTCTGCAACATGGACTCCAGCCAGCCTGATCAGAAGTCTATGGAGGGGGCCAGGCACAGTGGCTCACGCCTGTATTCCCTGTAATCCCAGCACTTGGGGAGGCTGAGGTGGGTGGATCACCTGAAGTCAGGAGTTTGAGACCAGCCTGGCCATCATGGTGAAACCACATCTCTACTAAAAATACAAAAATTAGCCAGGCGTGGCGGTGGGCACCTATAATCCCAGCTACTCTGGAGGCTGAGGCAGCAGGATCGCTTGAATCCGGGAGGCAGATGTTGTAGTGAGCCAAGATTGCACAACTGCACTCCAGCCTGGGTGACAGAGTAAAACTCTGTCTCAAAAAAAGAAAAAGAAAGAAAGAAGAAAAGGAAAGAAAAAGAACAGAAAGAAGGAAAGAAAACGAAAGAAAAAGAAAAGAAAAGAAAGAAAGAAGGAGGGGCATACTGACGCCTCAGTGAAGAATGGGATGGACACCCTCACTCTATTCCACCTCTCCCGGCAAAGCCCTAAGTCTTTGCTCAGAAAGGAGCCAGACTTTAGAGCAGGCTACAGGTGGACATGGGGCGAAGACAGCACAGGTTGCCAGGGCACCCTCTCTTGTTCCATAGGAGCCTGGCCCCTGCAAGGAGAGGCATCTTTCAACAATCAAGCATAGTGTGTGTGTCGGGGGGGGGGGGGGGGGGGGAGGGGAGGGGTGGAGGTTTCGGCAAGCAGAGCAAAAAGGCACAAATGACAGAGGGGTAGAGCCCCACCAGTCCCTCTGAGGACAAGGCAGAGGGAGCCCCACTGGGGTCCACACCCCTGTGTGTCCCAGGCTGATTTGGGGACAAGGCTCCCACAGTCAACCTACCTACCCCAGTGCTAGCTGGCCAGGGATGCCAGGCTGTACCCGACCTTCGGTTGTGCGGCTTGGAACCTGGACCCGGGCAGAAATTGACAAGTTCCCCAAAACAATGTCATCCCCAGGACCCCAAGACCTCAAGGAGCAGAAGCCACAATTCTGGATGTCGCGTGCAGCGCCATCTCCTGTCTGCCCTGCCTCCTCATCCCTTCCTCCCAGGGCGACCTTGGACCAGATCTCGGGACCGGGAGACCCGCCCAGCTCTCCCGACCGGGATGGGCCTGGCGCCCGGGTGAGGCCGCGTTGTGCTGGGACAGCTCCGAGCTGCCTCCCCGCAGACCCGGGCCGCTACAAGCGGCGGATTCGGCGGCAAGAGGAAAGAGTCCGACCCTCCAGGGGCTGCAGGGAGGGCCAGCCTTTGGGTCGGGGGCAATCAGGACTGGGAGTCGATATCGCGGGGAACGAATGATGAATGAATAAATGAAAGAATGAACACAGTGGCGGGGCGGAGACGCGCCGCGCGAGGCGTCCCGAGGAGGGTGCCCTCCCCGGCCCCGACGCCGCCGGGACCGTCCCTCGATCCCCCAGGTCGCAGCAGACTCAGCCGGGACACCAGATCCGGGCGCGAACACCTCACGGGCTCCCGGAGGCGCCTGGGCGCGCGCGGCGCAGCTCTGGCCCGAAGCCCGCATTCCGGCGGCCGGGAAGTGCCTGCCCCGTGGGCAGAACGCTCCGAGTTGCCGTGGCCCCAGGAGCCGCCCTGCCCCGCGCGGCAGCGGCCCCTCGCGGCTGCCTCCGGGGCCCCGAACCCGGCTCCCGGGCCGCCATCCCTTACCTGCCCGCCTCGGCGGCCTCGCTCCGGCTCAGAGCGGTCATCGCGGCGCCAGCACCCCGCGCCCCCGACCGCGCGCCGGGACCCAGCGCCCGCCGGACGCCGCCCGCCCCGTCGAGAGCCCGCCCCGCTCGCCCATTGGCGGCTCGCGCGGGCCGGGCCCAGCCCATTGGCCGTTCCTCCCCCTTCTGCCCGAGCTGCCCTCTTTCCCCACCTTCCCCAGGTGGGGCGCCCAGCTCTACGCAGATTGCAGCGCCCGGTCCCCCGAACTGGAAGGTCCCGGAGGCGCAGGGCCTGGCGCGGCACCTCCTGACCCTCACGTCGAGGGTGTTGTGTCCCGCTAGACGCTTCTGTCCTCCTAGTTTTGGAACTTGGGTCCCTCTGCAGGAAACGATTCCGGCCCCTCTCCAACCCAGTCCTTCCCAACCTCGAGCTGCAGGGTTACGTTTCCATTTCACCGTTAGTGGGGAATACCAAAGGGGATATTGAACACCACGGTCTGACAGGCAGGTCACCACCGGGAGCCCGGGAGCCAGGATGCTTCCATGCACTTTTGCCAGAGTTTTTAACATTGCAGTGTCTCCAAGGAAATACACACTTTTGGAGGAGTCTGTGGAGGGACTGAAGGTGGACGCAAATCAAAGGCAGGGAAGCAGAGGCACAGCTCAGGGTGTCACAATGAGCTGGGCTGGACTGAGCAGTGATAATGGGCCCAAAGGTCCTATTCCCCAGCTTGCCTGACCTGCAGGCCCTTTCCTCTTCCACCCCCACCAGGTCACTTGGTCCTTGGGAGCGTGGTTAGGAGAGGGGAAAGGCGCAGGCCAGATTTGGTCCCATTTCCAACTCTCCCCCAACCCCTTCGCGCTGCGGTATCATGGTGGGAGGGCACCAGCAAACAGGAGGGGTCCCAAGGCGAGCCCAGGTCCACAACTGAGGACCCGGGAGCAGAGCCGTCTCGGGCGTCTAGAGTAGACCCCTCCCGATAAGGGATCGCTATTGCAGGGAGACCAAAGTGGAGGGAGAACCACCGCCAGGGCCGCTTCACGATTTGGGTTTATCTACCAGAGTGGGAGGGAGGAGCCCTTGTCCCTGCTCTTTCCCATCTCTGGTTCACATAAGCCACTAACGTCTCCCCACAGCACTGAAGGGGGCAACCTAGAACCCTAAGATAGCCAGCTGCTGGTTTCCCAGCGCCATGTGTACCCGACGGCAGGCAGGATGGCAGACGACAGCACCTAGCTCCCACTGTGGGGCACGGGGCTGCAGCCATTTCCAGCCTGTTTGGAGGGCAGGGTTCAACCATCTCCCCCTCCCCAGCAGAAAAGAGAGGAAACAGGTGCTTCAGCTGTTGTTTATTGACATACAGGTAGGCTCTATAGCAACAGGCCTGGAGGTGCTGCGTCAGTGGGGGGAAATGGAAGGTGGAGTGTTTGCCGCAGGACAGCTGAGTGGAGGGTGGGGACAGGTGTGAACTGGGGAGGCCCACGGGTTGGGGAAGCAATAAGGGCCAGGGCCAGAGTTGGCTTAAATGGAACAACTGCTCTGTGCGCCAAGGCCCCTAACTCTCACTGGCTGTCTCCTGACCCCAGACCAGGGTTGGGAGTCCTCTGGGCATCCATTTTCTAAAGGAACTGAACAGAGTACACACAGGAAAGGAAGCTGTCACCCTCTTGCCATCTGGCTCCTGGGGCCTCCAGTCCGGCATTCCTCCTTCTTCCCTTGACTAGGTGGGGCCACATGATGGGCAGCCAGGCTCTGGGCTGTCCCACCAGAGCAGGCGGTCAACACAGCCATGTTTCGGCGAGGCGTTTTAACTTCTTCTCTGGTGTCCCAGCCCATCAGTGCCACGTTACAGCCCAGAGTGAGCTCTACAAGCATTGCTGGCCTAATGGATGGGTTGGGGGAAGCGGGTGGGACAGGGGCTGCAGGAGGGGCTCTGGGGTCTATCACGGCACAGGAACAACGCGCATGGTGTTGGTGAAGCCGGAGCCAGGGCGCCACCCGGTCAGCACAATGACCACATCTCCCTTCTTGAAGAAGCCTCGGGCCTTGCCTGGAGGAAGAGAAGGGAGGTTGGTGGGTAAAGGCCAAGCCAGGCAGGGTCTGCACCTGGGCAGCTGCCCCAAACCAGAGCACCGGACTAGGCTGGCTGACCACTACTTCCTCAAACCACAAGGTGGCGCCAAACCCACAGCCCAGGCAAACAAGAGGGAGGCCCTGAAATTTCCTTATCACTCAGATGGTAGGGTTGGCAAGGACCTTTGGACATCATTCACTTTATCCTCAAGAGGGTGCAAAGCCTAGCCCAAGGTCAGAGCTAGCTGTTTCCTGTCATCCGATGATACCCTACCTTACATGGGGCCAATGGCCACATCAGAACCTAATCTGTATGCCACCCACAGTGCAGGAGCTCTAGCCAATTTTATTTAAAACCAAAAATTCTCAGTAATGAGCAAACGCCAAAGAATGGACAATTTTGCTTTGAGCCCTAGACTAGAAAAGAAGAGGGACTGAACTGCTCAGCCCTGCAACTCAAAGGACCCTTTTCCTTCCTGGGCTCAGCCTAGGGCTTCAGGGAATGAGATTCAGAAAACATTCCCAATGAGGGAGAGGAGCAGTCAGCTGGGCCTCTTGCCCCTCCAAGGTCTGCACGTTCTCCTTTCGATTCCCCAAATTTCAGGGTCCCAGAGAAGCCAATGCTCAAGCAGCCCCAAACCCCCCCGGGCTCTAGCCCCTGCTCCAACCACATACCGACATTCATGGCCAAGTTCACCCGGAGATCCACGTCCTCAGCCCAGGCCTCCTGGACGGGGTCCTTGCACAGCACAGGGAAGATGCCACGGTACAGGTGAGCCTGACGAGCTGTCTGGGGATTCCGTGTCACAGCAATGATGGGGGCACGTGGGCGGTATCTGGCCACCTGGTGAGCAGACCTGAGATGGGAAGGAGGACAGACGGAAGAGCCCATTACACAGGGCCCCAGGAAGCACCTCAGGAGTTGTTCATACAGTTCAGCCGCATCCAGCTCACTGTGCCTGCCTGAGGGCTCTGGCCACTTCAGTATCTGCTCCCTAGAGCCCCTCCCAAGGCTTGGGCAGCCCCTCATCCTATATCCTCTACAGCATGCTAAGCTACCATTTGGCCTCTACCCCTATTCCACAGGCCAGGGGCCCAGGATCATCTTGACCCGGGCAAGGTCAGCCTCACCCACTTACCCCACAGCCCAGGGTTGGCAGAACCCCTCCTACACCCTGAACTCTGACACAGAGAGGCAGCCCTGGCCCAATGTCACATCACTCATTCTTCTCGCTTCCAGTAACAACTACAGGCCGAGCAGCACGTGCGTAGCACCTGACTCCTGACATCTGCAAAGAGCAGGAGCAGAGCTGACCCCGCCCCCTCTAAGGAATCCATATCAAGCTTCTCTACTTAGGTGCTTTCTCCCTGCCCTGCATGGCCCTTAGCTCCTGAAACAGCCCTAGCAACTGGGCTGTAAGGGCCCAGAGTCCAATCTGAGTAAGTGAGGCTTAGAAATCTAGGTGCTATTCAGCAGGCAAGAACAGGAAATGGGAATGTTGGTGCAGGAGCAGCTGTGCCTGCCAAACCTCCTCTGGAAGGCAGGGGACCCTTCTGAAGCCCCTCTGCCAGGCACTTTCTTGAACACTGACTGCACACTTGTAGCTGCAGATGTGTCTCAGGAGATGGGGAGGGGCATCTAAAGGGAAGTTATGAGGACACTCAAGGGGTGTCAGGGAACCTTAAGCCACATCACAGCAGAGAAGTCCCTGCATGTCACGCTTGGCCTCTATGCAAGGCCTTCAGAGGGAAGCAACTGCTGAGGCCAGGACCAGCTAAGTGAAACCCCAGAAGACTAGGGCTTAAAATAGCCACACAGCAAGAACGAGACCTTTTAAGAAAGGTCAACCCTACTGGTTGGAGCTGTTCGGCCAAGACTGAGAGGCTGGAGCCCTCTGCTGAGATCATCTGCACAGTGCTTGTGTCCTGGTTCTCTGGGCTGCCCACGCCCGTCTGCTGCTCCTCAGTGCGTGGGCACTGCCTGTTTGCTCCTCTCTCTTCCAGGAAACCCTCGCTGCCCCGTGGGCAGTGACAAGGAGCACACTCCCTGACCAGGAGAGTGAAGGACGTTAACTCAATGTCCTGGGCAAGGAAGGGCTCCCAAGCTGGAGGCCCAGCACAGAGCACCCAGTCCTCAGCCTGGCTGCCTGACCCTACAGAATGTCAGCCAAGATAGCACAGCAACCTCACCCGAGCTGGAACCCAACTGTGTGCCAAATGGACACACAGTAAGCAGCATTTAAATTCATCTTCCCAACTGAATTTTTAAAGAGAACATAGTAACTGGAACAAGCAAAAGTGGTTATCTTTTACTATTTTAGAGGACTAGATTGTCAATATCAAATAACCATGTGTAGTCAGCCTGTGCACTATTACATAATAAATCTCCAGTATAAACTTGTTTTTGATCCAAATGTTCTGACACTCCTCGTGAGTGCTCAGTGAGTCCGCTGGGCCCAGGGAAGGGGCTCTGCTCACTCCTGCCCTGCGGGTCCAGGCGGCAGGCAGAGGGGTCTTACCTTGGCGCAGCGCCACCCGAGCACTGTTCAATGCACTGCTCCCAGGACCCCCAAGGAGAGGTGCCACTGAGCAGGGCCTCCCGGGGAGCTGCTGCCGCCTCCTACCTGCCAGACTTGGTGAGGACGATTATGGCCCCACTGCAGCACTTGAAGGAAGCCTCCACGGCACCCACGGCGGTGGCTTCTGTGGGGTCGCTGGTAATGGGGGCCAGGCGGCGGAGTTCCTCAAATAATTGCAAGTGGTAGATGGCGGCCTCTGCCTCACGGGCAATCTAGGGGAGCAACATTCGTCCAGAGGGACGAGAGAGGGACGAGAGGGGGACAGAGCTTTGTCAGAGCTTTGTCACAAAAGGAGAGGGAAGGGAAGAGTCACCCGGACAGCTGATGAGGAACATGTTCCTGGGGACAAAGGCCAAGAGGAGCCCAATCACTGGAGATTCTGAGCTGAGCCAAGATCAAGACTCTACAGGAACCAGTCCTTCACCAGGTGCCTGTGACATCTGCTGTGCCTACTGAGCCACAGGACCCTTTGGTCCTGCCCTGCCATGACCTCCCTGGCTGTGTTCCTGCAGACGAGAAGAGGCTCTGTGCCCAGATGCCAGGCTGGGCCTGGCTGTCTTCTCCGAGAGCAGCTGGAGCAAGAGGCTGGTTATCCTAACAGTGTTACCTGCCCTTAGGGCCCTACCTGCCAGACTCCGTCAGAACTATCAAAGCTGCCGCTAAACACTTATAAGAAGCCTCCACGCTGCCCATGCCCATGGCTTCCATGAGGTCTGTGGAGTGACTTGAGGCTCGCACAAGTTCTTCAAACAGCTTGCGGTGGAACATGGCTGCCTCAGCCTCACGAGCTATCTGTAAGGTTTAGAGGAAGACGGGGCAAGGAAGAGGGAAGGAGGAGGAAAAAAAACGAGACACAACACATGGGAAGACAGAATGGGGAATTAATCAGAGAGGAAGGTAACCTTAGGTTAACTGGCTAAATCTGTCCTTCGGGCAGATGCAGAGGTAGGGTGATGAAAGTCCAACTGCTTCAGGGGTGCTGCCACTTCCCTTCCAATACAGGGGAAACTGGCTCTTCCATTCTGGAAGGATTTTTTGATTGGGGTGGAGGGAGACAATCTGGCAGTAGGTTCTAGCACCCTGGCATGGAAACATGCCCAGGCTGGGCCCACGCCACTCCCTGGCAGAGGACTTGACCACGCTGCCTCATGATACAGCTTACAGGAAGGAACAGGCCCTCCCTCCTCACATGGCTGTCTGGTTAGGCAAAGACTCCCGCCCAGCCTCCATGCGCGCATGGAGTGAACACTCACTTGGCTTCAGGCACAGGGATGCACTGAGCCTTTCCAATGGCCTGCCATGGAAACGGATTGAGCAGCGCTGGAAAGCTGGGATCAAAGCCAAAGCTAGGCGGCTCAACTGAGGTCTAAGCAGGAGAATGGAAAACTTGGGCTAACTTGTGAGAGGCACACTGAACAGCCATGTGAAGAGACAGACGCCTATAGAAGCATGCAGATATGTTTAATAAGACACTTGATTAAAATCTAATGATTAAAACAGTCATGAGAAAGCCACTGTGTTATTTATAGACCACTTGCTCAGATAAGACCAAAAATCAAAAAGACAATGTAAGCTTTAGAGGATTACAATGTAATTCACCAGCCTCTTAGTAAACGATGGGTGAGGGAGGAATCGGTAATACCCCCTCATGAATTTCATAGTAGAAGCAGGTGTGCAGCAGGAATTTACTAGGTTAAAGGCATTCATTCTGGAAGAATGGAATGCATGCAGCCCAGAGGACAGGGGACATGAACAGGAAACAGAGCCATACCTGGTACTGCTTAGTTATGGGTCATTAACTGCATCAGTGAGACACAGGAGAAAGCAGTGAACAGTTAAGGGGAGGAACTGTTGGCCAGTGTTAACCAGTGACACACAAAGGAGAGGTCTAGCCACCTGGAGGGGCAGCTACAGCCTGGCCCAGACCTGTAACTTTTCTTCTGAGCAGTGCCATGCAATCCAAGCCTTGCAGCTCTAAGGTATCTGTCTGTTCATAGGAAACGCCAGCGTATGGAGGAAAGGACATGAATTCAGAACCTGAGCCTGGATCTTCGTCTCCGACCCCACGGACAGGCTCCAAATGGAGACCTGTTCTCATCTCCTGCTAGACAGAGCGTGATGTTGCAGGAGGGAAGAAGGGCTTTGGAGTCAGCAGGCCAGGATTCAAACCTGGGCTTTATTGGCCATATAACCCTCGTCTACAAATGGAGGTGATGGGAGTTAGGAAGATTATATCCATGTACACAGAGACTTATCAGACATTTAATAATAACAGCAGTGAATATTTAATGCTAAGGCTATAAACGTATCTAATCCATTTTAAAGACGAGGTCTTGAGAATTACACGACTTGCTCAAAGACACATTAAAGTCCCCACATTCTATGCAGTGATTTCATGGTTCAGTAAATCTAAGTCAAGATCAGTCCCTGTCCCACCTTTGAGGCCATGAAGTCACATAATTTAAGAGAATTAGAGAGAGGGGATGTGTGGAGACCCCCAGAAAGGCAGCCACTTTAGTGGTGACTGGTTCAAGGTGCACCGTCTCCTGGGAAACCTTCTACCATGGGGCAATTGTGAGACTGCACCAAGAGTATCTAAGTCAGAACAGCAATCACATCACACAAACAGTGAGGCGTCAGCCAGGGCCAGGCTACGTTAAGTAGCCCTGGGAGAGAGACGGCTCTCTACCAACTGTTTTATGTTTTTTAGTTTGGGTTCTTTTTTGAGGCAGGGTGTCACTTTGTCACCTAGGCTGGTACCATCTTGGCCTACTGCAGCCTCAACCTCCTGGGTTCAAGTGATCCTCCTTCCCCAGCACCACCCAAGTAGCTGGGACTACAGGCGTGCACCACCACATCCAGCTAGCTAACTTTTGAATTTTTAGTAGTGACAGGGTTTTGCCATCTTGCCCAGGCTGGTCCCCTGAGCTCAGGGAATCTGTCTACCTTGGCCTGCTAAAGTACTGACATTACAGGTATTAAGCCACCACCCTTGGCCTCTACCAATTTCAATATGGGGAAACCCACTAAGCATGCTGACAACCCAGAAATAATCCTCAGTCTATGAATTCAGTTTGCCACTGAAGGAGCATTTAATAGAAATTACATGTCTTCTCTGGAAGCTGTTTAAGCCCAGTAACAGGACACATGGTGAAAAAGGAAAGGAAGATGCCCAGACCAGGTGGGTGTATTTTTTTGAGGGAGGGGTGGTATTTTAAACTTGGGGGCTTGTAGGGGCTGGTCTTTCACTGGTGAGAAAGGGAATAGAAAGGCTGAAGAAAAACCATGTCCGGATAAAGTGTAAGTTCAGAGCCTGACCTAAGACTACTGGGAGAAAGTTAATTTCTAGTACTCGTTATACCAGATCTATGTAATCCTGATCAGGAATCCCCGAGTTAGCGCTGCAGTAAGTTCCAGAGCTGGAACAGACAGAGGAGAAGGAGTGAGCCTCCGATCCTGAGCAGCGGCCAGGCGGTCGACAAGACAAGCTGGAAGAGCCTGAAGAACAAGCTCTCATAGGAGAAAGGGAAACAGCCTCTACAACTCCTCCAGACGCTCAGTCCAGGGCCACCAGGGTCAGCCGCCCTCCCTCCTCTCTGTCACCCTGCTAGCAGTCACTCAACCCAGCTTTTTGGTCTGGAGTAAGAGCAGCAGCTGCACCCTAACGACACAGCAAAGCAAATCTCCCTCAGAGGCACCATGCAAGGACAGCGCAGGCAGCTCAGTGCAGGCAACAGCCTCCAGAGCAGGTCCACAGAGGGCCCTCGGGGAGCACCTGTCTGTGGGATGGGGGTGAATTGAAAGCAAGAGGGCAGCTGGGAGCAGGAGCCCCTGGCCCTTTTCAGAATAGGGAAAAGGTACTCAGAACCTCTGACTCTGAGGAAGAGGTTCAAGACCTCCTTTCACTACGGAAGTATCCCAGGACTTAAGCCATGGAAAGATTCACAACCTTGAAGTCAGAAGTGAAATGAACTGTGTGGTGTCCGATGAAGGACGATGCCTCCAGAGCAGAAGAAAATGGAGGGGTAGCCGGGCACGGTGGCTCAAGCCTGTAATCCCAGCACTTTGGGAGGCCGAGGCGGGTGGATCACGAGGTCAAGAGATCGAGACCATCCTGGTCAACAAGGTGAAACCCCGTCTCTACTACAAATACAAAAAATTAGCTGGGCATGGTGGCGCGTGCCTGTAATCCCAGCTACTCAGGAGGCTGAGGCAGGAGAATTGCCTGAACCCAGGAGGCAGAGGTTGCGGTGAGCCGAGATCGCGCCATTGCACTCCAGCCTGGGTAACAAGAGCGAAACTCTGTCTCAAAAAAAAAAAAAAAATTAGCTGGGCGTGGTGGCACATGCCTGTAATTCCAGCTACTCAGGAGGCTGAGGCAGGAGAATTGCTTGAACCCAGGAGGCGGAGGTTGCGGTGAGCCGAGATCGCGCCATTGCACTCCAGCCTGGGTAACAAGAGTGAAACTCTGTCTCAAAAAAAAAAAAAGAAAAAGAAAATGGAGGGGTAGAGGTGTGGGCAGGAATGCGGAACAGGAAAAATAAAAAATAAAAAAGCCACTTCTACCTCCACCCCCACCCTCTTGCTGCTGTGACTTGGAGGATAATGAAAGATTGTGCATAAAAGGATGCAGAAGCCTCAAAAGCTCTGCACCAGAGCTTGCCTCCATCCCAGGCCCAGCCTGAAACCCGGGGGATGGGGCAGGCCCTGAGAACTCACCAGGTGCTGCATGCGAACGGCCTCCAGAGGATAGTCCCCTTTGGCTGTCTCTCCAGACAGCATGATACAGTCAGCTCCATCCAGGACTGCATTGGCCACATCACTGCCCTCAGCCCGGGTAGGGCGGGGCTTCTTGATCATGCTCTCCAGCATCTGGGAGGGGACAGAGCATTAATGAGACGTATGACAGCGAGTTGATCCTCTGGATAGTGAGTAGGTGAACAGAGAATGGCTTTCTGTAGGTGCATGGGGGAGGGGGATATCTGTGTGTTACATGAGATAGTTCCATGGGAAGAGATCAGACAGCCTCCAGAGCTTTCCCATTCAAAACTGGGAGTGTGCACAGGAGAGACCCAGAAAGGGGGGGGGGGCGGGCACATGCCTGAGTGGCACAGATGACAGGCTTCCCAGCTCGGTTGCACCGCCCAATCATCATCTTCTGAGCAAGGAAGACCTTCTCTGCAGGAATTTCAATGCCTAGATCACCACGAGCCACCATGATCCCATCACTGGCCTCCAGGATTTCATCAAACCTGATGGACAAAGTGAGGTAGAAAGAGGTTATATAGAACAGGGACCACAAGTATGGCGGTGGACAGGACGTTTCCCTGGTATTCCCTAACTTAGATGTCCTTGTTCCAGGACAGACATCTATGATATCATCATGGGTGCACACAGATGCCAGGGCACTCCAGCTACCTTAGTCCCCCAGAGTGGGCCAACAATTCTGTCTGCTGGGCTACTTGACTGATGGAACAAAAGGGCTCTGAGAGGGCAAGGTCTCCTCTGAATCCATGGGCTTATTCCCAGGGTCTCCTCTCCAAACCCCAAGCATCTAAGGTGTCTCTCTAGAACCTCCATTCTCCAATCAGCACTTCAAGACAAGGAACCCGAGGCCTGCTGTTTCCACCACAAAGATCCATGGCCTCACCTAGCCCACTCCAACGGGCTAAAGGCAAGAGGGAATGTGGCTTTGCCTGGCCTAAGGCCAAGTTCAGCTAGCCCACTGCTTCTCAGGATGGCAAAGGGGAAGGCCCCAAATTGCCTGCTACAGAGGATATCTACACAAAGCTAAGACAGTAAAGCCACTACAGTGGGTACATAGGGTTGCTCCCCTACCCTCCCCAAGCACACTCCCCAAGAGTAGGTCTAGCATCTTAGCAGTGATGAGTTACATTCCAGCAGGAAGCCAAAGAGGAACGGATGTCACCCAGCTGGCCACGTTCACTGGGCTCTACCTCATGAGCACTGGGAAGAGGGGTAAGATAAGTTGGGGCAACGTGAACCTGGAGAAGAACCATACATCTTTCTGTGGGAGTAGAATGGACCATACCAGAGTTAGCCTGATCACTGAGCCAACAGCTGCTTTCTAAGTGAAGACCAGGCCATAAGCTTCAGCATGGACGCCAGGCCCTGAACTGCAACATGGCCCCCCAGGGAGGGTCAAAAAGAGCCCCTTCCTAAGTGTCTGCTGTCACCTTTCCCCATGGTCCCCCCCGTTCCAGAAAACACTGGTAGTGTTTCTGATCAGGAACAGAGCATCATGACTCCTGATCCTGCGAGCAGTGACCCTATTCTCTCAAACGCTGGTCCCCAGGCTCAGGAAACAATGTCAAGCTGGCAGCATCTCAATCACCTGGGAAGCTTTTTTTTTTTTTTTTTTTTAAAAACCAATGCCTTCTACTCTGCTAAGATATTCTGATTCGGTGGGTTTGGAACAGGATTGGGAGTCTACATTCTGATGGGTAGGGGGCCGGGGCTGGGAATCAAGACATTGGGATGCACCATGTCCTTCAGAGAGCTGTCCTGGGACTGGAGCAGGGACAATGGAGACTTGCCTCCGAACCCCCTCATGATTCTCGATTTTGCTGATGATCTTGATGTTCTTTCCCTTCTCTCCCAGGACCTTCCTCACTTCATGGACATCAGCTGCCTTGCGGATGAATGACGCAAACACCATATCGACATCCTGCTCAACCCCAAACTTCAGGTCCTGGATGTCCTTCTCTGACACAGCAGGCAAGTCCACAGCAGCCCCAGGAAGGTTCACACCTTTCTTGCTGCCCAAGGAGCCACCATTTTCCACCTCTGTCACCAGGAAGTCAGCACCTGTGTGAGAAGAGCACTGAGGGCACTGCCCAACAGGAAGCAGGTGCCTTCCTCCAAGTACAGGGAGCTGGGAAGTGGCAATCGTGGGTGCTGGAGCCGTTTACCAGAGTTGAAACCCCACTCCACTAACTGTGTAATCCTAGGCAAGCCACTTAACCTCTCTGTACCTCAGTTTCCTCGACTATAAATCAGGATAATTGATAGTTTTGACTTTGGGAGGCCAAGGCAGGTGGATCACCTGAGGTCAGGAGCTAGAGACAAGCCTGGCCAACATGGCGAAGCCCCCTCTCTCCTAAAAATACAAATAAATTAGCCAGGCAAGGTGCCTCTAATCCCAGCTACTAGGGAGGCTGAGGTAGGAGAATTGCTAGAACCCCAGGGGCAGAGATTGCAGTGAGCCAAGACTGGGCCACTGCACTCCAGCCTGGGCAACAGCGAGAGTCTGTCTCAAAAAAAAAAAAATTTCCTATGTTCTCCAAAACCAGAAGAATGTGACTATGCTGGATTAAAGTCTGTCTTTGAGGATAAATGAGTTATAAAAGGGATTTCTCAGAACACAGAGACTCAACCTCACTGCCAGCCAACCAAGCTTCCCATCTTCCTTGTGTCAAAGAACTTTAGAGACAGGAGATGGTTTTAGACAACTGGAGCCCAACTCCCATCCGTACCTTTCTGCTTCACCTGGAGAGAAATAAGCCCATCATCCACATAGATCTTGCTGCCCACTTCCACCACCTTGCAGATATTCTTGTAGTCCAGCCACAGGATGTTCTCGTCACACTTCTCCATGTAGGCGTTGTCCAGCGTGATTTTGAGAGTGGCTCCCTTCTTCAGCTCCACCTCTGCAGTGCCGCTCTAGGGACGAGAGAGTAAGCAAGAGTCCAAACTGGAGATGCCAGCAGCAGCATCACCCCGGCAAGAATGGAAAAGCTCTTTCCTCCAAGGAACAATGCTCAAGTCTCCATTAAAAGTAATATAGTTTTTGTGCTTATTCTCTAACTCAATATACTTTAAGGAAATAACCCAAGGAAAAAAGATAATGTTTCAGTTATGCTACTTAATGATGAAGAAAAAGATACAAAGGGATGGTTCCCCAACTTAGAAAGCCTAAAGTTGAGGGCTTTTGTTTTTGTTGTTAAGTTTAGATTTTTAGGGTAAAAATAAAGAAGGTTTCTTTGAGGTACCATTTCCTAGCAAAGTAGATGAAATTAACATTGTTTACAGTGATGAATAAATCCTCATTTGCAGACCTCAACTCCTCTGCAGTTCTCCATGGTGCTGGGATGAAACACAACATCGCAGCACTTCAGAGGACACGTCTCTGGGGCCTACTCAGCCTCCCTGTCACTCTCCCCAGAATACTCACGCCCTTGATGAGGCCAGTTCGGATCTCAGGTCCTTTAGTGTCCAGAGCCACAGCAACGGGCCGGTAGAGGATGGGGTCAGAAGCAAAGCTCTCCGTGGCTGCGCGCACATTCTTGATGGTCTCCGCGTGGTACTGGGGTAAAGGAAGGAAGATGACAAGCCTGCTCCCACATTAGGATCCAGCTCCAACTCCCCTGCCCAGGAGCCAAAGCTGATCGCTCAGGAAAGGCCTGCGGATGTCTCAGAGGTCCACCTGCATCCTCAGCATGATCAGCGCACTGAGAACTCCTCTACCTGATTAACCCAACCTCCTCAGCTTCCACAAGCTTCTACTACAGCACTACTTCAGCCTAAGGGCAAATCTTTGAAACTTTGGTGGCAAATTTCAGAATATCACCACCAAAACCCATTAGGGTATGGGTGCAAACACATCTCATCGTAAAGGCAGCCGTGTCCCTAGGGCTGTTCTTTTTTTCCCTAAGACTCATCAAATACCCTCAGCAAATAAAGCTGATAAACACGGCAAAAAGCCTAGGACTTGTGTTTGGATAAGGCTGGTTTGGCAATCAATGTCACATTTTGATAGATGTGGTAATGCTGAGAGCATTTCCTCTATTGATTCCAACTACAATCCAAACTTTGAAGTTATTGACTTAAGCTAACAGTGGCCCAAGCTAAACAATTCATTGCTAAGGTCACACAGACCTGGTTTTCTCAATCACTTTCTAGATTCTGATTACAGAGGAGGAAAGGTGGTCATATGCCTTTCTCCAAATGAACTACTCTTTATTATTCCTTGCTTGCAACAAATACTGGCTTCAATCTCTTTTCTTTTTTTTTTTTTTTTTGAGACGGAGTTTCACTCTTGTTACCCAGGCTGGAGTGCAATGGCGCGATCTCGGCTCACCGCAACCTCCGCCTCCTGGGTTCAGGCAATTCTCCTGCCTCAGCCTCCTGAGTAGCTGGGATTACAGGCACGCGCCACCATGCCCAGCTAGTATTTTTAGTAGAGACGGGGTTTCACCATGTTGACCAGGTTGGTCTCGATCTCTCGACCTTGTGATCCACCCGCCTGGGCCTCCCAAAGTGCTGGGATTACAGGCTTGAGCCATCGCGCCCGGCAATCTCTTTTCTTAAGCTGTTCTTCCTTTCCATTTGCCATTTTGTTTGTTAAAGCGCAATGGCTCATGCCTGTAAACCAAACATTTTGGGAGGCTAAGGTGGGAGGATAGCTTGGACCCATGAGTTTGAGATGAGCCTGGGCAACATGGCGAAACCCCATCTCTACTAAAAATACAAAAATTAGCTGGGCGTGGTGTTGCATGCCTGTAGTCCCAGCTACTTGGAAAGCTAAGGCAGGAGAATCGCTTAAACCCAGGAGGTGAAGGTTATAGTGAGCTGAGACTGCACCATTGCACTTCAGCCTGAGCAACAGTGAGACTGTCTCCAAAAAAAAAAAAAAAAAAAAAAAAGAATAGAATAGAAATAGCTGTTTTAAAGGATTAGGTGGTGCCTTTCCTTCAGAGTTGATGTGAGGAGTAAAAGAATATTATGAAGTATTTAGGACAGAGTCAAGTACACGGTTATTATTTAATAACGGTTACCTATTATCATCTTATAATGATAAGACTCAGGTGTACCGAATCTTCCACTACAGCTGTGGCTTTATTGGGATGTTATCATGTGGTAAAGAGTTCCATCTATCAATGCTATCCTGCAGAAGATCTTAAATTTAGGTTGTTTAAAAGTCAACATTAACTCTACTTAATCCCATTGTAGAATTTTGTGCTCCTAGAATAAAATCCACTTGGTCATGGATTCCTTTCCATCGCTACTGGATTTGGATTATTAAATTTTGTTTTCTGCAGCTGAGATGGGTCTAGCACACTAACTGTTAGTACTAAACTGCCTGGTTTTGGTGCTGTCCTTGACCAATCTCAGTAACAGGGTATGTTGGTTTCAAAGGACACAGTGGAAAAATTTCTGTATTTCTCTAGGCTTTGGAACAGGGTAAAAAACCATTTAACTGAACTTTGAAGTGGAGACAATTCAGCCACTAAGATCATTTGGACTTAGTGTTCTGAGGTGAGCCAGATCTTAGTCACTTTTTTAACTATTTTTTTTTTTTTTTTTGGGAGACGGAGTCTCACTGTCACACATGAGTGCTGGAGTGCAGTGACATGATCTTGGCTCACTGCAGCCTCCACCTCCCAGGTTGAAGTGATTCTCCTGCCTCAGCCTCCCAAGTAGCTGCGACTGTAGGCATGTGCCACCATGCCCTGCCAATGTTTGTATTTTTTGTAGAGATGGGGCTTGATCATGTTGGCCAGGCTAGTCTCAAACTCCTGACCTAAAGTGATCCGCCCACCTTGGCCTCCCAAAGTGCTGGGATTATGGGCATGAGCCACCATACCCAGCCCACTTTTTCAACTTCTTATGGCCATTGGTCTATTCTATCTTTTGAGTATTTATCTTTTCTTGGAAAAATAGCCAGTGCCATCTCTCTTTATAGCAATTAGTTATAAGTTTTTCTTGACTTTTAAAATGTCTAATGTGTAGGAAAATGCTCTATTTTCTATTCATACTCTTACTTACACATCTTTGAATTCTTGACCTGGCTTCCCAAAACTTTCTATTTCACTATTTTTCCCCACAAAGAATCGGCTCTTAGCTTAATTTGTCAAATTTATTTTCATTTCACTGAGCTATAATCTTACAAAATTAATTTTTCTTCACCCTTTTTAGGGATTCCTCCCCTTGTGTTCTGAGTTAAATATTTATTTCATTTACCTTGAGATCTTTGCTTTCTAAAGTAAGCACACTTCAGTTTTCTGGACTTTGTCCTTAATTTCCATTAAAAAATTATATCAAGGAATGTGTCTGTATTTACTTCATGAAACTTGAGGGTTTTTTTGGTGACCTAATATATTTTTGTAACCATGAGAGTTTCATGCCCACATGCATTTTTGGTCCTGGGGATCTAAAATCATGTATTGTAAACCTAACAATTATTAGGTATATTATTCAAATCCACATCATATATTATAATCTCTTAGAGCATCTCTGGGAGGCTTACTGAGTCTTCCACTACAGCTGTGGCTTTGTTGGGATGTTATCATGTGGTAAAGAGTTCCATCCATTAATGGTATCTTGCGGAAGGCTCTATATTTAGGTTGTTTAAAAGTCATTATTTTTGCCAGGCGCGGTGGCTCAAGCCTGTAATCCCAGCACTTTGGGAGGCCGAGGCGGGTGGATCACGAGGTCAAGAGATCGAGACCATCCTGGTCAACATGGTGAAACCCTGTCTCTACTAAAAATACAAAAAATTAGCTGGGCATGGTGGCGCGTGCCTGTAATCCCAGCTACTCAGGAGGCTGAGACAGGAGAATTGCCTGAACCCAGGAGGCGGAGGTTGCGGTGAGCCGAGATCGCGCCATTGCACTCCAGCCTGGGTAACAAGAGCGAAACTCCGTCTCCAAAAAAAAAAAAAAAAAAAAAAAAAAGTCATTATTTTTGGGCCAGGTACAGTGGCTTACGACTGTAATACAAGCATTTTGGGAGGCCAAGGCTGGCAGATCATTTGAGGTCAGGAGTTCAAGATCAGCCTGGCCGGCCGGGCGCATTGGCTCAAGCCTATAATCCCGGCACTTTGGGAGGCCAAGGCGGGTGGATCACGAGGTCAAGAAATCGAGACCATCCTGGTCAACATGGTGAAACTCCGTCTCTACTAAAAATACAAAAAATTAGCTGGGCATGGTGGTGTGTGCCTGTAATCCCCGCTACTCAGGAGGCTCAGGCAGGAGAATTGCCTGAACCCAGGAGGCAGAGGTTGCGGTGAGCTGAGATCGCGTGTGCCATTGCACTTCAGCCTGGGTAACAGAGCGAAACTCCGTCTTAAAAAAAAAAAGAAAAAAAAAAAAAAAAGCCGGGCGCGGTGGCTCAAGCCTGTAATCCCAGCACTTTGGGAGGCCGAGGCGGGTGGATCACGAGGTCAAGAGATCGAGACCATCCTGGTCAACATGGTGAAACCCCGTCTCTACTAAAAATACAAAAATTAGCTGGGCATGGTGGCGTGTGCCTATAATCCCAGCTACTCAGGAGGCTGAGGCAGGAGAATTGCCTGAACCCAGGAGGCGGAGGTTGCGGTGAGCCGAGATGGCGCCATTGCACTCCAGCCTGGGCAACGAGAGCGAAACTCCGTCTCAAAAAAAAAAAAAAAAAAAAAGATCAGCCTGGCCAACAAGATGAAACCCTGTCTCTACTAAAATACAAAAATTAGCCAGGCATGGTAGCAGGTGCCTGTAATCTCAGCTATTCGGGAGGCTGAGGTAGGAAAATCTCAAACCCAGGAGGCAAAGGTTGCAGTGAGCCAAGATCGTGCCACTGCACTCCAGTCTAAGTGACAGAGTGAGACTCCCTCTCAAAATGAATAAATAAATAAAAAGTAAATATTTCTGGCCAACATGGCATAAGGAACCACATGTTCAGCAAGAATGCATCTTGTCCATGTGAACTGCCAAAAGTGAAGGCTGAAGACTGGCTGCCAAAGCTGTCAAGAGGCTGGGCACAGCGGCTCACCTGAGGTGAGGAGGTTCGAGACTAGACTGGCCAACATGGCGAAACCCTGTCTCTACTAAAAATATAAAAAACGTAGCCAGGCATGGTGGCACAGGTCTGTAATTCCAGCTACTTGGGAGGCTAAGGCATGAGAATCGCTTAAACCTGGGAGGCAGAGGTTGTGGTAAGCTGAATCATGCCAATGCACTCCAGTCTGGACAGCAGAGCAAGACTCTGTCTCAAAAAAAAGCCGTTAAAAAATCAGATGCAGACATTTGATGTCCCTCTGTGGAAGACACTAATCTCAATGTTCTGCTCAGAAGAACATTTAAAATCATCAGGAACTGGAAAAGTACGTCCCAGCCCCTAGTCAAAGATGCATATGAAACAAGAACCCTGACGTATGGTCAGACTAAAACTGTTTACATTACATTATATAAGTTAGAATAATTTCAGATCAGTTTCCAAGCCCTGAGCCCAGGGACAACCTCATCTTGGTCTAAAACTTCAAAATAAACCCACACGAGGGACTTCTTTAAAAGATAAAAATTTTAAAATCTTAATTATAATCTGGGAATAGGAGTGAAAGCAGAGACAAACTCCAAAAGCCTTTTGAAGTTTAAAAAACCAAAATCGGAGCCAGCTCTCATCCAGCAGGTGCAGCAGATTTCATTCACCCTTGCCATTTCAGAGCTGTGTGGTGTTATTTTACTGGATGGAAGGAACCATAAAGCCTATTTAAAGGTCAACTTCTTAAAAATCTATTTCTGCTCCCTCTGCATGCAGGAGCCCACGGGAGACTACAGCAGCAGGGATCAATAGTGAACAGCCGTTGTCTTTAGCTCTCTCTCTCTTTAAGCTAAACTAACACTTGTAGTAATTCTCAGAGACTCTTGCTAAGGACGCCTTGCTTTTGGAAAACTACAGAATTTCCAAAAGTTACAGGGACGTGTCTTAACCTGCGTGATATGTCTGCTGGACTTGGTCAGGTCCCCATGACATTTAGGGACCAGCCACTAGCAAGGCCATAAGCTGTTTATGAACATGGGTTAGGGAATCTATGATGAGGAGTCTCATGTTTCCCAAAAGGAGTAATTCACCTCGTGGATTGCATTTCCCGAAGGCTTTATTTTTAGTCTAAACTTAATACCAACTTCCAAATGCCAGAGGGCAACCACTGTAAGACACTTGACCTTACAGGGTGACATTTTCTTTACTCTCAGCAGGAAATACAGAAGCCAAGACAGCGTCTCACTTTGCCTCCTCTGTGATTCCTCTTATCGGTGCCATTATGAAATCCCATGATCTATGGGAAATCTATGATTATGTCTAAAGGTTTTAAAAGGCACAGTCCCAGGCTGGATGTGGTAGCTCATTCCTGTAATCCCAGCATTTCGGAAAATCACTTGAGCCCAAGAGTTTGAGACTGGCCTAGGCAATATAGTGAGATCTCATCTCTACACAAAAAAAATATTTTTAATTAGCCAGGTGTGGTGGTGCATGCCTGTATTCCCAGATACTCAGGAGGCCGAGTCAAGAGGATCACTTGAACCTTGGAAGGTCAAGGATGCAGTGAGCCATGATCACACCACTGTAGTCCAGCCTGGGTGACAGAGCTTTATTTTGTCTTATAAAATAAAAAAATAAATAAGACATGGTCCCTCAGGGAACCTCAAACTCTTCAAAACGAGTTTATTCTAAATCTAGGAACAGAGGCAGGAATGGAGCCATCCCCACAGCTGTGATCTTGCTCCTGGGCAAGGCCTCTGTCCATAGATAAAGCCAGCTAATAAAGGGCCCAGCACAAATATAATCCTACTAGGCTCCTGAGGAAGAGTGCTAACTAGTGTTATCTTAATGTACCAGCACCCCTGGGAAGGCACAGGCTGGGAATACAGTGCTCAGGAAGTAGGGTATTCTACACCAGATAGTGTTTATGCATTAGGCTCAGTCCTTAAAAACTTGCAGTAGTGGAAACCCTTCTCATGGACCTGCCTTGTTATCTTGGTTCTACGCTAAGCCAGAATCCATCTACTAGACGGTTCACCATGGCAATACAAGCTATAGTAGAAACCCTGGGACAGAAGAGTCAAGAGCTGTGGCCAGGACACCTAAGGCTTAGAGGGTTTTCCAGTAAAACCCTTCCATGCCTTCCTTTGTGAAAGCTAAGAGTAGCAGAGGTGTGTAGGAGATGTATGGCCAGTGACAAAGGGGGTCTTTTTTTTTTCCTTGAGACGGAGTTTCGCTCTCGTTACCCAGGCTGGAGTGCAATGGCACGATCTCGGCTCACCGCAACCTCCATCTCCTGGATTCAAGCAATTCTCCTGCCTCAGCCTCCTGAGTAGCTGGGATTACAGGCACGCGCCACCATGCCCAGCTAATTTTTTGTGTTTTTAGTAGAGACGGGGTTTCATCATGTTGACCAGGATGGTCTCGATCTCTTGACCTTGTGATCCACCCGCCTCGGCCTCCCAAAGTGCTGGGATTACAGGCTTGAGCCATGGCGCCCGGCCTAAGGGGGTCTTCTTTGCTAAAGGAGACTCAGCCAGTTGCTTCGTCAGGAGAAGAAAGAAGGAGAGTAGGGATGGGCTAGTAAAGACAAACTTCACATTGGCTGTGAAACCCAGACTCATCCTTGCCTAGTCCACTGTGGCTAAATGAATACTGCACGCCCTCCCTGTTTCCTACAGGACATCACAGTGGCCACAGGGTCCAGCCACGGCTCACCTCATGAGTTCCGTGAGAGAAGTTCAGACGAGCCACATTCATTCCAGACTTAATCATCTCCTTCAATGTCTCCACCGATCGGGAAGCTGGGCCTATTTGGAAAAGTTTTAAAGCCACAAGTATTAATTATTCAAAGAAGGAAAAACATCAAGTTTGCTTAAGTTTAAAGAATTTTTTTTTCCCTGAAAACTTTTCCTCTTCCAAATAGCTCAAAAGTCTTTAAAAAGTGCACAGAAGGCTACTACTGTGCCCGCTTACTTTCTTGATTTATTGGGACACTTCGACCATTTCCTTCAAATTCTGCAGACTGCCATCCTATCAAGAAAGCCTACTAAGACTTGGCCAGCCTTCTCTGCTGTCTCTGAAATCCAGCCAGATGTCCAACCACAGAATCTTGGTTGCACAGAACATGTTAAATAAAAGATCTTTTCTAGGTCTCTGAGTTGCTCCTACAAAGATCTGCTAAGGAAGACACTGTCTAAATTTTGTCTATAGCATAAAACCTAAAACATATGGATTCTTTTTGCAACAAATTATTTTTTATCATAAAACTGATAGTTTATAATTTGGGTTACAAAGTTTGAATACAATACAGTTTGGATAATTAAATCAGGTTAATTAACATATCCAACACTTTAAATACTTACCATTTTTGTGGTGAGAACATTTGAAATTTACTCTCAGCAAGTTTTTTTTTCCTTTTTCTTTCTTTCTTTCTTTTTTTTTTTTTGAGACAGAGTCTAGTTCTTATTGCCCAGGCTGGAGTGCAATGTTGCAGTCTCAGCGCACTGCAACCTCCACCTCCCAGGTTCAGGTGATTCTCCTGCCTCAGCCTCCCAAGTAGCCAGGATTATAGGCACCCGCCACCACGCCTGGCTAATTTTTTTTGTATTTTTAGTAGAAACAGGCTTTCATCATGTTGGCCAGGCTGGTCTGAACTCCTCACCTCAGGTGATCCGCCCACCTCAGCTTCCCAAAGTGCTGGGATTACAGGTGTGAGCCACCACACCCAGACAATTTTTTTTTTCTTAAGACAGGATCTCGCTCTGTTGCCCAGACTGGAGTGCGGTGGTAGGATCATGCCTCACTGTAACTTCAACTCTCCTGGACTCAAGTGATCTTTGTTTTACCCTCCCATGTAGCCAGGACTATAGGTGCATGCCACCATGCCCAGCTAATTTGTTTTTTTGTGTTTTGTTTTACTTTTTTGTACTCAGGCTGGTCTCAAATTTCTGACCTCAATCTTTCCAGCTTGGCCTCCCAAAGTGCTAGGAGCCATCACCCCTGGCCATCTCAGCAATTTTGAAATGTCTAATACTCTATTAACTATATTCGCCATCCTGTGCACATACTAATTCGTTATTGCAACTTCCTATGACCTGGGTTCTCTCATTAGAATCTGTGTAGCATCCCATGTAGCACCTAGGTTTGTTAGGACGTTTAGTTTTCTCAGGAGAGAAGGGGTCACTTTTTGGGGGAAAGCAGCACACCCACTCACCAATGGTACAGATGATGCCAGTGTTCCGGGCTGTGATGGGTGGTGAGTCAATGTCCAGGCGGCACATGTGCTCCAGGAATGTGTCGGCCATGGCTGCATGCAGCTGCTGGGTCTGAATGAAGGCAGTCCCGGCTTCACTATGGGGCTTCGACATGGCTGCTGAGGTCCTGGGTCCAAGGACATTGAAAGAGAGTGGTAAGACTGAGAAGGGGTTAATGTACCACTTGGCACAAGAGGCTGTCTCCTGCTTACACATTAACTCAATAAGCACGCTGTGTGCACAAGCCACAGGAAGCCAGACATGCTGTGCTTATGTGGTTGCTCCTCATGATGGACAAAGGGTTCACAAGATCGTGAACAATGGAAAGGCCCTTACTGACAAGTTAAACCCTCCCACCCACTGCACATAGTCCCCAAGCACCCACAGTAAGCAGGTCTAACACTGGGCTGACATCTACCTAGACAGCTTTCCCACCAACCCTATCTAAAATATCATTTAACATGCACTGAAGGGAGTTACCAATCAAGGAAGTTGTAACCAATCTTCCAGTGATAAAATGACTCCTAGCATAGCACCTTGATAAGCCTAGTTCTCTGTACATCAAGCTGTCACAAAGCTACAAATCTCTGCTTTGTCATGGGGCACCAACACTGCCTCTTTACAATCCTCGCTCAAACCCACAGTTATTTTCCTGAATGCAAAAGCTTCCATCCCAGGAGTCTAAACCTAAAACCACATCTACTTTTGGCCAGGAGGATCTTAGGATATGCAAAGCAATTTGCACACAAGCAAGGATAACATAAGGGCACTGGTATAGTTCTAAAATTATCACAACTACATTCACAGGATAGTTATAAACAGAGAAATTAAAGCTGCTGGTCAAATCTTTTCCCCAAATGATTTTTGATGCACATCCTGATTTCCTTTCTAAGCCTGACAAGTATACCACCACTCTGTAACACAGACTACCGGTTCCAGGTAATTAACTAGCCCAGGTCACAACCCCAACAATGGCCCCGACCTTTGCCTTCTTCATTAATGACTTACAACTAAACTCACTCAGCCTGTTAGCTGATTAGAAACAAAGACTCCGGAGAAGCTTCCAGGCAGTGTTTGAAGAACTACCAGGTAAGGATGTGAACCAGAAGCTTGCTACATTTCTTATCAGAAAGCTGTTTCCTTGAGTTCTCAGACCAAGGGCTACTCTTTCTAAAACCCTTGAGCCTAAATGCTTCAGCCAAGCAAGGTTCAGGAACAAGCCCCTTTAGCCCTCCCCCACCTCCTCCTAAATCTCAAAGTTCCAAATCAAGGCATCCCACACATAGGACCCTAACTCCTTTAGCCTGTTCCATCCCTGACTTTGCGGGCTCTCTGGGTGGCTCCAGCAGAGTATGAATCTAAACCCATCTCTACTGCCTCCAAAGAAGGCCGGTTAAGGTCCAAGGAGCTCTGAGGGCAGCAGTGAACAGTCCGTCAGTTATGGAAAACTGATGGCCACAAGTCCTCAACCACAGATTCTGAAACTTTTAAAATGGGGATATATGATACCGGCTAACTATTCAACATGGCAAATGCACTCTTCATTTTGATGTGTATTTCCTAAGCTCCTAACATCTACTATGTACCAAAATGAAAAAGTCAGTCCTCTCTTCCAGGACTATATGGTTTTCTATCTCCTAGCACCTAGTATGTGGAAGCGTTTGTTAAAGACCTTTCAGTCTCTCTGAATGCCCCTTTTGTCAGAATCAAAGTGATGCCTCGGCTCCCCCTTCCCTAAATGAGGAACTTCTGAATTACCGACAGAAAAGCCTGGGCAGCCCCGGTCCCATCTTTCCCTACACTCATGGTTGAGCGAGGGCTCGCATACCTTCAGAGCTCCCAGCTGGGCTTAGGGTAGTCTGGCTGTTAAGGAAACATTACTGACAGATGGCACATCAGGCCAACTGGAACCAATGGGCCTACAATCTGGGACTGTATTGTGGACGAAATAAGATCTGAGAAAGTGGGTTGGAGCAACCAATTCCACTCTTTTTAAAAACCATCAGCTGGCTCTTCTTAGACCTGAGATATCAGGGTCTTCCTGTAAAGAACTGAGTGGGGCCACTGAATATCAGGTCATACCTTTGGTTCTCTGGGCTTGGGCTTCCGGTGACATAATGCTCTCCTTTTGGCTCAGGGTGGCTCCTTGGCCTCACTTGCAAAGACCGCTCAGAGCTGAATAAGGTTTGCCCTGGGGAGCTGTACAAGGATTAAGGTAAAAGCTGAGTGTAACTAAAGCTCTTTGGGGTAATGGAAAAATTACCTTAATAGCCAGGTATCCAGGTGGCAGCTGCGCGAGAGATTCAGCTGTTATGTCTTTTTAAACCTGTGATTTACTAACATTCCACTATTTCATGCCAGAACCTGGTCCCTCCCGTTTTGGGAGGAGGGAAAGGATGCCAAATTAAACATACCTAAAAGACCTGGGAGGATATACACTGAAATTTTAATAAGATGTCATCTCGGTGGTAGGATTACAGAAAAAAAAAAAAAATCCTCTTTATTACCAAATTGACTGGTATAAAAATAAAAATACTTTTACAGTAAAAAATTATGTGTACCTCTTTTGGAAATATCTACATGCATCCTACAAAATTGCTGGGAGGAAGTAAATGAAATATGAAGATACCAAGTCCATTAATCAACTGCTGCTCTAGGCACTTCGAGAATAACCTGCTTTTAAAAGATGGCAAAGCCGGGCGCGGTGGCTCAAGCCTGTAATCCCAGCACTTTGGGAGGCCGAGGCGGGTGGATCACGAGGTCAAGAGATCGAGACCATCCTGGTCAACATGGTGAAACTCCATCTCTACTAAAAATACAAAAAATTAGCTGGGCATGGTGGCACGTGCCTGTAATCCCAGCTACTCAGGAGGCTGAGGCAGGAGAATTGCCTGAACCCAGGGGGCGGAGGTTGCAGTGAGCCGAGATCGCGCCATTGCACTCCAGCCTGGGTAACGAGAGCGAAACTCCGTTTCAAAAAAAAAAAAAGATGGCAAAGAAAAGATACATGTCTCAAGTTCTATACACTGGGTTGTAATTTAAAAAAAAAAAAAAAAAAAGAAAAGAAAGAAAAATCCATGTCTTAGGCCCTAGGCCCTAGATCACAAATGTATTGCAGGACAGTTTCAATGGCTTAAGAAGATCAACATTAATACATTCAGAATCTCAAAGCAAAAAAATAAAAATAAAAATTCATAGGACAATTCCATGCCTCAAACCTGTTAAGTTTCATGCCCAAATCCAAAAAACCTTTTTCCCCTGTTTAGTCTGCTCTCAAGCTTTACAGTAAAAGCTTTGTGACAATGTTCTGGTACAGAAGAGCTGCCTCCAGGACCAGGAGATGCCATTAGCGGATAAAATTATATTGTCCTCAAACACAAATCCTATTTCAAAGATCTCAAATTAAATCTGATGTGCATAAGCTCTAATTTTCTGCTAATAAGTACAAAAATGACAAAAGAAAATTTCCTTGGCATTTAGTGGATTTATACACTAGCAATCAAAAAAAATCTTACTTGTCATCAAGTTCATCCAGACTCCAGATCTCATGTATCCTTAACACTCCAGAGACCTCGTATCTCATGCCCAGGTCTCTCCTCAGGCTCTGACCTGAAGCCTTCCTCGAGGGAGGGCCAGAGCTCTCCTGCCTTCTCTAAGATCCTCCACAAGCCTCTTCTCCCCAGCACAAGTTGCCCATCCCACTGGACTCTCCCCTGGCTCCAGGAAAGCAGCCCAGCCTTTCCTTCTGGGAAAGGCTCCTCTCCCTCATGCCAGCTGCCTGAACAGTGCCTGCCAGGACATGTGGCCCCACCCATGCCAGTCTGACTCACTACTGCATCCTCCTCCTAGGGAGGCACAGACATGCAGAGCCAACCTCCAGCCAGCAGTGGAAGCGTGGTGTATCCAATGATAGCAGCACACACCATGCCCAGGTGCCGGAGCCTTATTCTTGAGCCCGAGCCCCTGTAGTAAGATCTTCCTCAGAGCCATGTCTCCTCTGTGAGAAAGGAGACACCATCTTTAAGAGGCCTTATTCTGAACTGACAGGTGGGTACAGGCATAATCACGGCTCAGCTCCAGAAGCCCTCTTCTCTCTGTGCTTTCTCATCTCAAACAGCTCCTGGCTCTTTATGTTAGTTTCCTTTGTGTCAGACACAATTTTTTGGCCATTCTTCAGAAACCAGGAGACAAAAATCATAAAAAATACCCAATGCTCCCCACTCAACCTTTTGTTTTGAGACAGGGTCTCGCTCTGTCACCCAGGCTGGAGTGCAATGGTATGATTATATTATAGCTCACTGCAGCCTCAAAGGATCCTCCAGCCTCAGCATCCCAAGTAGCTGAGACTACAGGCGCGCACCACACCCAGATCCCATGCTCCACTTCTTAGAGCCAGGACTGTTGTTGGGTTGCGCTGGGAAAAATTCACGCTTCACTTCACCAATTCTGTCTTTCACAAAGGTCCAAATCATTCTGCCCTAATAAACCAGCCTGGCCCGTGAGTCTGCATCTGCCTAAGGCCATTTTTCTTTGTACCAATTAAGCTCTGATACCAACCTCATCACACAGATCAACTGTAAAATGATGGCACCTGATGCTCACTTTCTCTCTCCAACATTGCCAGCTGGTACCCAAGACTGTGTTCCTTGCTGGGATGTCAGTTTGCTAGCTATGCCTCCAATCCATCGTGAAGGCCTTTCAGTCCTCAACTCTTCAGAACGCCAGCATCCGTTATTAAGTTTTCGTCATGATATGCTGGCATTCAGGTCAGCCTGCTCTCTAGCTCTCTTCCTCAACAATGGAAACGGAATTTCTAAGATTTGCCCTAATCAAACTATGCCAGCAACGTGATCAAAATGGGTGATGGTCTGGAGTAGGCACTGTTCATCTTGATACACAGTTAAGCATATGACAACAGTGTATTTGCATATAAGTGCCGGATACAGAGGATAAGATCTCTTCTAGCTAAGAGACCTGGGTCTGAAGTCCACACTTTAACCCCAGCAGGCCCCATAGCTGAAAACTGGTGTTACCAGGCTACACAGAACAAAGTGAGCCCACTTGTAGGTTTAAGAAAAATTCCCTTGCTTAAAAAGAAAAAAAAAATCTCGCTCTTTTATTTCTTCA